CAGTGGCGGGTCTTTCGGTTTTTGACCTTAGTGGTCATTTGGTGTTCATTTGGGGTCCCGATGCTCATTTGGAGGTTTGGTAACTATTTGGTGGTCGATGATTTATTCAAATTATAACCTTAGTGGCAGGTTGACGGAAACAGCCCGAAGAGGAATTTCACTCTTGGATCGAGTCATGCTTACTCGACCAGAGTGGGGGGACTAGATGATATGGGATATTATATACTGGACCAGTCTTAATGGATAAAAAGGAGATATATTGAAGAATAAGCCTACAAATGGCTAGGACACGTGGCATGATGCTATTGGACAAGCCCAATTTGGGCCATAAGGTACATTCCCCCTATAAAAGGGGGCTAAGGTATCACATTCTCTCATTCTCTCTACATTCATTACCATACTGTGGGTATTTGGAGTGATACTGACTTGAGCGTCGGAGGCCCGACGCCGGGACCCCTCCCGGCGTTGGGTTCTTGCAGGTACGGAGGCCGTGCGAGTCGAATGAGCCCGAGTGAAATCTTATTCACTTCACAACCAGGAACCGATATCCAAATCACCATATAGAATGGCACCTGCTGAATTGAAAGAGTTGAAAGTACAACTACAAGAATTGTTGGATAAAGGATTTATCAGACCAAGTTTTTCACCTTAGGGAGCACCGGTTTTATTTGTTCGTAAGAAGGATGACACATTAAGAATGTGTATCGATTATCGAGAGCTGAATAAAGTTAAGATAAAAAATAAATATCCTTTGCCGAGAATTGATGATTTGTTTGACCAACTTCAAGGTGCAACAACATTTTCTAAGATTGATTTACGCTCTGGATATCATGACCAGTTGAAAATAAAATAAGAAGATATTCCTAAGATGACGTTTAGCAGGAGGTACGGTCGCTACGAATTTCTGGTGATGCCGTTTGTCTTAACTAATTCCCAACTGCTTTCATGGACCTAATGAATAGGGTATTTAAGGATTTCTTAGATAAGTTCGTGATTGTGTTTATCGACGATATCTTTATATACTCTAAAACAAAAGAAGAACATATTGAACATTTGTGGAAAGTGTTCAAGGTGCTGAAAGCAAATCAGTTATATGCAAAGTTTAAGAAATGTGAGTTTTGGTTGTATCGGGTAGTGTTCCTTGGACACGTTATTTCCGGAGACGGGATCTTAGTTGACCCCGAGTAAAGTGGAAACTGTTGAAAAATGGCCCCAACCAACTAACCTTTAGGAGGTGCGAAGTTTTCTTGGACTAGCAGGATATTATCGTAGATTCGTGGAAGGATTTTCTAAAATTGCCTCACCTTTGACACAACTGACAAGAAAGAACGTGAGTTTTAAATGGACAGAGGCTTGTGAACAGAGCTTTCAAGAACTCAAAATAATATTAACCTCGGAACCTGTATTGTCTATACCGTCAGACAATGGAGGATTTATTGTCTAAAGTGACGCATCAAAGAATGGTTTGGGTTGTGTACTCATGCAAAATGGCAGAGTAATAGCATATGCATCCAGACAGCTGAAAGAGTATGGAAAGAACTACCCTACACATGATTTAGAGCTTACAGCAGTTATCTTTGCGGTTAAAATCTGGAGACATTATTTGTACGGAGAAAGGTGTGCAATTTTCACCGACCACGAGAGTTTAACATGAGACAACGAAGGAGTTTGAAATATTTCTTTACACAGAAGGAGTTGAACATGAGACAACGAAGATGGTTGGAGCTGGTCAAAGATTATGATTTGTTATTAGCTACCGTCCCGAAAAGGCAAACGTCGTAGCAGACGCTTTGAGCAGGAAATCAACACAACAGAATACAATAACAGTTTCTGCTCAAAAGCCAGAACTACTTGATTTACAGAAAATGAATATTGATATTGTTGAAAGAGGATCGTCGGAAGTAAAGTTGGCATCTCAAATCCTCCGTCCCTCCTTAATTGAAAGAATACAACATGAGCAACTCAACGATAAGTATTTGGCAAAAGTAAAGAAGGATTTTGTTGCAGGAACATCATCTGATTTTCATCTATCCAAAATTGGGATATGATATTTTTGTATAAACCAAACTATTTTTTCAAAAATTGGCATAAATCTGTGAACAAACTATTTTAATTGGGTTGGCAGATTTTATATTGCATAAAGCGGATTTTTAAAAATATTCTACTACATGAACAAACTGATTTTAAGAAATATTCTACTATAACATAAAAAAATTCATCCGGATTTGTAGTTGGATTTCCAAACAAATGCGTGGACCATAAACGATTTTAAATCTTCAGATCTATTTTTTTAAGCATGTGATCACAAAATATAAATTTCCAACAACATTTCCATAATTGTCAAACATTTGACTCATTTTTTTTAGCTTTCCACAATTGATTTTACCATCAACCTCTTTCAATATATATATATATATATATATATAGAGAGAGAGAGAGAGAGAGAGAGAGAGAGAGAGAGAGAGAGAAGGGATCATATGAGAAAGGAAGATAGTGAAAGAAATGAGAATAAATATACACCACAAGATCTGTCATATTAACGGCAAGATGTATCAAAATTGTTGACCATGCAGAAATTAAGAGGTGGCATATTCGTAATTCAGTGCAACATTAAGGTAAATTATATTAGGCAGAGGGCATAATCGTAGTTACCAATATGACAATCTATCATTATATTAAAAGATTAACCATTTAACACTTTTAGCAAGTTTTTTCCCGCCAAATACATTTAATGTCTCCTAAAAATAAAGCAGCATTAAATGTTGTCCTTAAATCATGACAGTTGTTAATTTAGTTTGGAGAAAATCGTGGCAACTAAAACAAACAACATTAATTACGGCTGATTTAATATTTAAATGGTAAACAAATATTACTTTTTTATGACTGATTTAATTACGTCTGTTTAAAAGTAAAAAACTACTTTTGTAATTTCAACAAATTTGTACTCTTTAATGTACAGCTGATTTAAAATTAAGAATTTTCTTTTGTATTTTCACAAAAAATCGTATAAAGAAGTATGGCTGGAATAATAATAAAAAATTAATTTGTTAAACCATATTTTGCACTCATAGATACGAATTCTCATCAAATTCAAGATTTAAAATTGTGAAGAATATATATAGATGTGGACTGATTGAAGATATATGATTCCTTAAATTAAGGAATTTTTTTCGGTAAAAAAAAATATAAACTTTAAAATTCCTATGAAGAAGAATTCTATTAATTTTCAAATTCAACATCTCATAAAAATAATATAATACACTTTTACATTCTATGAAACAATATTTAAAACCCACCGTTCAACATACATAAAATGTAAAATTACCTAACATGAATCATTTTAACTTTCTAAAATCAGTACACAATTTGCTCGGTATGTACTAATAGTCTAATAGTTAAGAGTTAATATTTGCTATGACATCTATTGATTGGAAAGAATTCCATTTTGTGTGGAATTCGAAATGAAAAAACATATTCTGAAAATCAAATCTGGTTTAGAGATCGATTTCTTAATGGCCTTAAATTATGCAAATATATTGTTTCAATTTTTAGGATTCTTTTATATGATCTCAGTCTTTGCATTATATGAAATCTATACTTATATAAAAAGTCATCCTATTTACTAGAAATAGTAGGCAGAAAAGTCAAAGGTAATTAATGCTTGCTGGAAATAGAATGATATTAATTACAGATTTGGTTTGGTATTTATAGGCTTGACATTAAAGATTTGTTATGGGATAAAAATCAGAACCGATTTTTTTACTTTTGCTGGAAAAGTCAAAGGTAAGTATAGATTTGTTTTATCCCATAGCATCGATTTAGTTAAGAAAATCCCATCAAATCAGTTTTATATATCAAGCCTATGAATAAAGATTTAATCGGTCAAAATTAAATCCTTATTTTACGTCACCCATAATAAAGTAGATGTCAAACCTAAATTGAAGGGTTTAGTTGTCTATATAGTCATTGATTTACGTAAATACATCTAATGTTTAAAGTTTGTGTAGATTGAAAATTCCTTCTTATCTTTTTACAAAAAATCTTATTATTATTGTATGGAAAATCAAACTCATAATGTTGTGTACAAGGTGGTCTTTAATAATATATGATTGTTTGTTTGTCGAATACTATCTTAATGTATAATTTTTATGCGTATTATAAAACTTTTATTGAATATTGCATCTTATAATATAGTATTCCTCAAATAAATATATCCCGTGCCTCGCACGGGTCACGTACTATATATATCCCCTACATTTTTCTGTATTCATGTATATAATTATAAGTCTGGATAAATAGCCTTAAAATTGTGCACCCCGTGCATTGCACGGGCTCTGTACTAGTTGACAGCTACACCTAAGAGCACCCACAATGCTTTGGGTCTCTTAACAAAAAATAACATGTCACATGGGAAATAGACTTAGTCTATAAAAAAATACTTCCCAATGCAATTAAAAGTGGACATGGTCTAGCTTATGTGGCAATGAAAAAAAGAGACCAAGTCCACACTTGGGTCTAATTTGGACCCAAGTACAAACTCAAACACTCATCATTTGTTCTTAATTTAATTCATTTTTTTTAATGAATAAAATATATTAGAGCATTTCTATCGGTTGGCATGTATGCTAGACCTAGTCTTTTTATTTTTGCATTGCAAAGTTTTTGAATTTTTTTACTTGGGTTTGTCCATGTCATTTAAAACTCAAGTCCAATTATATGCCACATATACAAAAAGAGACCCAAAACATTGTGGATGCTCTAATACCCTGGCCTCTCTCTCTCTCCCGCACTCATTTTTTCTTCGCTCTCTCTCTCAACCTGCGATTTCTCTCTCTCTCTCTCTCCGATAACGGTGGTCGGCATCTCGATCTCAGCCGAGACCTTTTGTCAGTCATCATCCGCCGCGATAAAAAATAATACATCTGACGACGTCCGGTGAAGATTAAGAAGGTGTCGGCGATCAACCGAACTGATTGTTGTCGTCTTCACAGCGAGGATGGATGCTGTTGTTATCTTTTGTTGTCCTCGGTGGCGACGATGTGGTTCTGGGAAGGGCTGGCGGCGGTGTGGGTGGACTGATAGGGACTCTGGCGGGAGAGAATTTAGCAGTGGTAAGGATTGGGGGATTTTCTAGGGGTTGTGATTTGGGGATTATTAGTCGCGCCGACGGCGACGTGGTTCTGGAAGGGCTGACGGTGGTGGGGGTGGACTGACAGAGACTCCGTCGGGCGGGGATTTTGTGGTGAGGATTGGTGAATTGTAGGGTTGTGATTTGGGGCTTATTGGTCGCTTCAGCGAGTTGTGATCGGCGGCTGCTGATTGTTGCCGTCGTGGATGGTGTTGTGCTGTCAAGGCTGGCGGCGGGAGAAGGCGGCTTGACGGTGGTTCCAGCAATTGTGATTTGGCAGCAGACATGGTTTTTTATTTTTTTTTGGGTTTGGTTTTTATAAATTAGACAAGATATAGGGGTCTTTGAGAAATTTTTTAAAATTAATCTATGGTCTTTGAGCAATTTTTTAAAATTAATCTTTGTTTTTAATTTTGATTATAGTAAATCTGTAAATTATTTTATTTTTAGGAAGATCGATTATTTATGATTATTCAGTTTGACGGTGTTATGACGGTGGATTGACAAAGCTGGCGGCGGTAGGTGGCGGTTTGACGGTGGTTCTAGCAGTCGGATTTGCAGCAGACATTTAGGATATTTTTGGATCGGTTTTTGGAAATTAGATAAGTTATAGGGGCCTTTGTGCAATTTTTAAAAATTTAATCTTCGTTTATAATTTTATTCCTATTAAATCTGTAAATTATTAGAAAAAAAAATACTAATTGCACAATAACGATAAATAAAATGCATATTAGTGTGTTTATGTGCACCTTAATAGAAAATTAAAAAAAAAAATGAAATAACCATAAATCGATCGAATTTTTGTGCCAAACAAATTTATATTTTTTTTTCCCGAAACGATAGATTATATTATAAATCAAAATGCACAGAAGTGCGAATACACAGCAGTCAACGACTGAATATACAGCAGTCAACAACTGAAAAAGTGGGAGGACAGGTCAGATGACCGCCTAGAGTCCCGCTAGCAACGCTAGAAGAAAACTCGCAACTACAACTAACCAACTAAAACAACGAAAACAACTAACAATTGAAAGGACCCCAACAGAGTAATGCCCGAGTGTCTGATCCCAATGGGATAATAAGGTGACACTCAGGTTCACAGAGACCAAACGGCCCAGACAAAAAACACAATCCTAAAGAAAAACACAAACACAAACCTAAGAGCAAGAAAAGCAAAACACAAATACAAACACAAACATACAGCCTCCCCCACCAGATAAATCGAGATCGACGGCAGACAACCAACCCCAACGACGGCTCCCGAGCGCGAAAACAACCGCCCGCCACTGCGAAAAGCCTAGCAAGACGGGTACCCGCACCCCTGAACTAATCGAAGAGATGGCCCGCACTCCAATCACGTGAAGAAACCTTCACGGCTGGGCTTCACCGAGTCCGCCCGCCGGAAACCCCCAACTATTCATCCCAGTCCTCCAGACCCATCTCGCCAAAGAAGAACCGAAAGGTCCCGCCGATCATGGACAAAATAAAATACCGAGACAAAAACAGCAAATTCAAGGGCCAACCTCCAATTGACAAAGCAAAGTGTCGAAACCGAAGAAGCCCCTTCCGTTCGCCGCTTCGCCGGCGAAAGGGCACGGTCCTGAGCGGCAGCAAGAAGGGTGGTCAAGGTGAATAATCAGCGACCCAGCCAAAGCCGATAGCAGCGCACCCAGCCTCGCCCATGAAACAGCCCCGCAACCCAACCTTCACCGACAACGCCTAGTCTCCGGCGACCACCAAGGGAGCACCTCCGAAGGCCGGCGCGCGATCCAGAACCAGACTTCAGCAAAAGAGATGAGGGCAGCACCGCCATGGGCAAGCGACGGAGGCCATCCACCGATGGACCCGGTCGTCCGGCAAGGGAGATTTAACCGGTGAGATTAAAGGAGCGGATTGGCTAGGTTACGGCGATTTTGGGAACGGGAGTTAGAGAGAGAATTGTATGGTAACAAATTTATATTGAATTGAACTAATTGGTTTATTCGGTTCGTTAACCGAATTAATCAGAATAACCAAACTAAATTATTATTTATACTAAAAAAACATATTTAGTGTTTTAAAATTTACACATAATCGACTTAATTTGTCGATTAACGTAAATAACCAAAATGACTAACATAATTTATATTATTTATTATAGTAAACATGATAATGTTGTTTTTTAATTCATATTTTATATTATTTTTTAACTAAAAAAATTGTATATATGTAAACGAAATATATTGTACAATATAACAGTTATTAAAGTGCAATTCGTCCAATATTATGGTAAATTGCACATTAATGTTATGTAAATCGCACGTTGTTGATCATTAGATTGCACGTTAATGGTATGTAAATTGCACATTAATGGTTTTATCTAACATTTTATTTATTTTAATTGAATAAATAATAATTTTATAAAAAATATAAAAAATAGTATTTGTTTATATGGTTTGGTCGGTCCGCTTATTTTGGTTATTTAAAAAATAAAAAATAAAAAATGACATCGAACTGAAATAACTAAAATTTTAAAGGTAAACACACATAATCGGTCTGACATAATATCCGAATACAAAAAACCAAATCAGTCGGGTCTGATCGATATAGTGCAATCTAAGAGACACTAATGTGCAATCCGTCTAATGTGAAAGTGCAATCCTACAGACATTAACGTGCAATTAGTCTTAACACTAATGCGCATCGATGTGTTTTTTAATAAAAAAAAAATGTATTTCGTATTAGTAAATTTCTTAGTTAATAGTTTATATTGTTGTTTGATGAAAATAAATAACAATATATATAGATAAAATATAAAAATTAATATTTTTTTTATATAGTTCGATCGGTTATTTAAAATATGTTGTTTTATAAGGTGCAACGTATTGTTTTATAAAGTACAATATTCTGGTATATAAAGTGCGATAATATATAGTTCGATCGGTTATTGAAAACATGTTGTTTTGTAAAGTGCAAGGTGTTGTATTATAAAAAATATATTTAGTATTTATATATTTTTATTTAATTGTTATCATTTGTCGAAAATAAATAATATATATACAATACAAAAATAATATTTTTTGTATAGTTTGTTCGGTTTTGTTAGTTGTTTTAATTTCAATCAAAGTTGTTTATTTTAATTTCCCTTCTCATACTTTATAATGTGCATTTTATCTATAATAATTATGTATTTGTTAAATTTTCATTAAACTACATATTTGCCCCTTGAACTAAATTGAAATATAATGAAGTTATCTAAAATTGCACATAAATCCTTTAAATTTATTAAATTTACAAAAACTTGCCCTAAATCCAATAATTCACTATTCAATTTCTGATTTTGGGGATCTAATAACCGAACACTTTGGACCAAATTCAACAATTTCAGCTCCCCGTTGTCGGCGCCGACGGTACAGGCGGAGATCCGAAGTCGAGAAGCTGCCACCTGAGAACTAATAGGAGGACGTTAATGGAGAGGCAGCGGTGGAGATTGCGTCTGCGGCGGTGGACGTCGATTAACCGGAGCTGTCGGGCCGTGATGTTAAGGAGTGATGACGATGTCGACGACGGCGGCTGTGTCGCGACGAAAGCTTGCTCGTTGCGTTAATGGCGTTTCCGGCGGCGAGTTTGCAGTGGTGTTGCGGTCGGAGCTGCGACTGGTTCTCTGGCCGCGGAGCTGCGACTGGTTCTCGGGCCGCGGAGATCAGTGCGGCGACGGAACACGACTATGTGCTGCGGCGGGACTTTGACGGTGGTCGGAGAAATGGCCCGATCGGGCTGTGCGGTGTGTGTGTTTGGTCTGTGTGCGTGGGTTTAGGTGTACGTGTGTTTGTGTGTGTGTGAGAGAGAGAGAGAGAGGAGAATGTGTGTGTTTGGTTTGTGCGTGTGCGTGTGGTACGTGTGTGTGTGTTTGAGATAGAGATAAATCAGGGAGGGGATGGATTTGTTGGTGGTGGGTCCCACTTAAATGTTGGTAAATGTCTAAATTACGCTTAATGAATCAACAAATGGTTTTTATTATGACTGTTAGATCATCCGATCTGATAGATCAGATTTTATTCTTATTTCTTTCACTGAGCACCATTCTCATGTGAGCGTGGCCCTATATATATATATATATATATATATATTGAAATAGATATAGATATGGACTAGTGTACTCCTCGTGCGTTGCACGGTGGGGTTTATTCTTGAAACCCTTTTTTTCTAAACTTTATTTTAAATATTTTTCCTTACAAATTAATCATTTGATTATAATAGAAAAAAAGAGAAATATAAAGTATAAAAGAGTAATATGTTATTAAACACTTCTCTATACACAACAATTCTTCGTTTGGTAAAAGTTTAAGTATTTGATATTTTTTTATTAAATATTAGTCGCCTTTAACGCAGAAAATTCAAGTTCTAGAAGCTCACAAGACTTGCCAATCATCCATTCACTCTCTATCCCAACATATGAAAGTGCCATTTGCAGAAGCATCATCGACTCCAAATTGAATCTTGTATCTTTATAAATACGAAAGGCATGTCATAAAGTACCAAATAATATAATAATTAATTAAAAATTATTTAATATTGCAAAAAAAAGTGTTTGTCCCATTTTTGTTACATTTTTCGTGCTTGTTTTGCTTTTATTTTTCCCTCGTTTTAGGTCGTTTCTTTCGTTTTTAGTCCGTTTCGTATTTTATTATGTGTTTTTCTTGATTTTGAGTCTTTAGGTGTTTTTTCGTTTGTTTTCCCAGTTTTCTTCGTGTTTTGTCGTTTTTGGTGTGTAGGTTGGGAGCTTCGGGCGAATTTTCTCTTCAGCAAAAGCTTGTTTCGAGTGCATAGTTGAATAGAGGGGTTCGTTGGCGACGCATAGCAAAAAACAGAACTCAATTTCAAGTTCGGACGAGTCCAAACGAGCCCAGTGCAGTCCAAAGTCGCGACTCGTGAGACGAATTCGCGAGATGAAAGTCGCGACTCACGAGAAAAACAGAGCCTGAAGGTGCAGTTCGCGAGCTCGAGTCGCGACTCGCGACATGCAGTTGCGAATCGCGAGATGAAGTCGCGACTCGCGAGTTATGTCGCGACCAAACCCCAGAAATTGAATATCTTGACGACGCATGACTCGCGAGACAGTCGCGACTCGCGACCTGAGGAAATTGAAAGTCGCGACTCGCGACTTAGTGGCGCAAATTTTGAGATTTGAGTTTTTAACATCTGATTTCGATCCTAGGGCTTATTATTCACTTCCAGACTTTGTTTTTAGGCTTTTTCTCTCTAGAAACTCATTCCTTTTCATGATTTTTCACTTTTGATTGGATTTGGAGATTGAAAAACTCCTTCTTGCTTTGGATTTGGATTGTTCACTGGATTCGACTCTTGGTTTTATATGAATCGTAAGTTTTCCTTTTCAATTACTTCTTGAATATGAATGCTTGGATTCTTGAGATGAATTGTGTTGAATTCTATATGAGTAGCTAAATCCATTCATTAGGGATAGGGGATGATGATGATGTTTAGAATTTAATTGGGATTATCAT